ATGTCATAATAATCCCAATACAATTCCACAAAATGATCCTTAAAAAGTTGGAAAACATAACATCCTCAACCTTACTCAGCCATCAGAAATGAAAATAGATTTAGGTACAAGATTCCAACCAAACCAGGAAGGCCATGGAAAGTGTAGTTGATCTCCACATGTCATGTGCATTTCGAGCAGAATGTTTTTGCTCTTGTTTTGATAACTGAAACCTTATTTTGCTTGTGTTTGGTTAAGTGGAATGCCCATATTTTGTAATCGAGATTCTATGGGTTATATACCTTATGGATGGTAAAATCTCTTACGTTTTCCAACTTCTTAAGAATCATTTTGTGGAATTGTATTGGGATTATTGTGACATTATGAAAAATATGTAATTATCTTGAGCATTTTTATGAGTATTATGAATATGTTTCTTATATTAATACACTCCTTTGGAGACAATAACACCATGAACATTTGTCAAATTATTAATTTGTTAGAGAAAATAAAAATGGTAGTACATGGTTCAAGAAAAAGACTAACTTAACTACTTATGAAGATAATAACACCATATGTCATTTCTCATGCATATGAATGAGAGGGAAAAATAAAATTGAGGATAGGAATTAGCGGGGAAAAATAGAGGAAAAGTTTATTTATTTTTATTTATTTTCAGGTTTTTAATCATTTTAAGAGTAAAATGACTTAACCACCCTCACATATTGTGCACATAGTCTCATTTAACAGAAATATGGATGGAATATATGAAAAACTAACGTTAGGGGGCAAATTGGCTAAAAAAATTAGTTTGAGTCCTTAATTTTCCAATAGAAAAGTTCATGAGGGAAATCGAAAGTTAGGTGAAAGTTTAGGTGGTAAATCGACAATTTACTCAAACATTTAAATTACCAATTGTTAGAGGAAATTCCTTCACTGCTACTGAACTAAGAGCCATGCATTTGGGCCCGTAAATAAAATACTAACAATGTGAGTGAATTTTTTAATTCCTTATTATTTTCTGGTATCATTTTCTCTGTCTGTTTTGTTTTCTGGGGTTGCATTCAGAGTTCCTCTTCTGCAAAACCTGAGACTAACAGCAACCACACAAATCGATATCAATTTACAATACAAAACTTGAATTCATTGGTTGTAATTGCATATTAAAATAATAATATATTTTTTTTTTATCGTACTTCAGAATATGAGATACTTTAAACATCATATGTAAAAATTATTGTGAGTACATATCTCAGTATCAATAACTTGATACTCAAGTAATTTATTATTTAAGTGACTTGATATTCGAGTAATCTTGCAGCTCCAATATGGCTAAAATAATAGAATCTTAACTCTGATTAATCAATTTGGGAAAACAATTTAATTTAACAATGATTTGCTATTTGTGACACCTCAAAAAAAAATTTTGGCACATAAATTAATCATACTTTCCACCTACTTTATAGTTGTGTTTCCAACCTACCTTATATCAATACTCTTTTATTCCTATTATTTTTATAATTACTCCATAAAACTTCTCCTTCACTGATGTGAAAAATAAGTTAACACACAAAATTAAACCATCTTTTTATCAATTGTAGCAAAGTATGTAAATAGAGATCGTTCTAGACCGGGGATTAGGAGGGATTGCTAAACACTTGAAAACTGACTTAGAAATGTAACAACAAAGTTTAAAGCACTAGATTAGACTCAAAGAATGCAAAACTCACGTTTAAAATACTAAAACAAACCAAAAACTCAAAACAGCAATCAAAAGATTCAAAACTGCCTTAAAAACACTTTCTGGGCAGTTTTGAACACAAAGCATCAAATTGGACGAATTTGGGTTTTAACTTGTACCAAAACACTTAAAAACATAAACCAACACACTTTCCAATTAATCTAGGAATTCAAAATAATTGGGGATTTGATTTGGACGAAAATAAACTTAAATGGCAGATTGTAATACAAAGTTATGAAGAATCAATGGATGATGGAATGACTAAGGGGTTCTTCTCCACACATGAAATATATGCAACCTAAATCGATTTCCAGTTATCAATTGAATAAGTTATGAACCTCGACACTCCAAGTTAATTAGATCCGCTTAAATTAACCTTCAGATTTCCCTAGAATCATTGAATTGGATGAATATGCATCGCAAACAAATTATTCCTAACAAGTTCTTTATATGAACAACATGATAAAGATAAAGGTTAGAATCATTACGTTCTTTGGAAATCATAAGTATCGACAAGGCATTCGTAACTATGAAAAGCATGATACTCTTGTCAAGACTCTACTTAACACGATCGTGACTAGCGGCCTTTACTACTTACGAATATAAATTCATGACGATTAGGCGAAACAAATTTATATCCTATCACCAAATTCAAACATGCAAATCAAGCGTGCACTCTCAATCAACATGCAAGAATAAGTTCTAAATCCAATTGTTAAGCAAATTGTATTCACAACTTATGCAACGATAACTGGAAGTAATCAACTTATTTCACATATATAATCATGGTTTTGAATACACCCTTAGCCAAAACAAAATTAGTCAATCATACTTAAAGCAACACAAAGATTACATGAATTAGACATTAAAATCCAAAGAAAGAAAACACCTAGAATGCTCCAACTTGGCAGCAAGTGCATCCAAGATTCCTCCTTTCCCTTGCTTGCGGCAGATTGGGTTGTGGACAGGTTTTGGGTAGTTTTATGGTAGAATGGATGGGGAATGGTATGGAAAGGTTTAGGGTGAGTGTGGAGGAGTGTTTGATGGTTGGAGGGTGGTGGAAAATTCGGCAAAAAGGGTGGAAGAGGGTGGAGTGGCTGTTATGTTTTCTGGGCACTAGAATGGTGTTTTTGGGGTGTTTTACTGCCTAGGGTGAGTATGGACGAATTTTCTGCATGAATGATGAATATGGGAGGTTCAACCTTTTGCCAAGGGTTGTAAACATGTATATATATGCCCCAAAAACCCTAGAGAATCAGATTAGGCAGTGGGGGAAATGCACAGCAAGGAAGGTGAATTTGTGGTGTGCAATGGTCCAAGGATGAAAATAGAGCAATGATGCAAAGTATGGAGGGTAAAATGGAGTGGTATTTCAGCTAGGGAGCATGAATGATTGTGTTCATTGCATGGAAATGAAAAGGGGAGGTGAAATGTTTCAGAAATTAGTCAAAGGTGCAGCAACATGTGTTGCACACGGCATTGGATCCCAAATGTGGATGATGGAGCATCAATTGGTGCATGGAATGGTTGTGAAAGTTGTGTGAAATCTGATGGGTGAAGGGAACAAGAGGTATGCAGCAATTGAGTGTGATAATTGAGTGTATTGAGGCATGAAATCAGAAATATTTTAGGAGACAAGGATGATTAAGCATGCATGGGAATCCAAAGGGAATGCTATGTGGATTGCACGGCAAGGATGTGTGTCCTTTTGTGGCTGAGTTCTTGATCATTTGTACACTAATTCTTCACATTCTTAGCCTTTTAAGTCTTCAATTTCGTCCAAACCTTGGTTCCAAATATGTGACATGCATTCCAAGCTCCATTTTGCTCCAAAATGCATCTTCTTGCCTACTTTGTTCTTAAAATCTGAAAACAAACGAAAATGACTTTAAACATTAAAATAACTAAGGAAACCCGAAATAAATGCACAAGAACAAGCCAACTAAGTCGCATAAATATGCTCCTATCATTCACAAAAGAAAATTTACAAGCTCGTCTCAGATAAATTTTCAGACAACCCACGAAATCACATAGCCGGCCTTATTTGCCATATTTGTAAAAAGGGAAATGATAGGAATGCTTTTTCAAAAGTAGGACTCTCTATAGATTCTCTGTCATCTCATGCGTTTGACATAAAATATTATAATGTTGGCATAAAAATTAACGTTAAACTATAAAATAACAGACAATAAATTCATTATCCATGTCTTTTTCTTTGGTCTGCCTTCAAACAGCAAGTCCCCAAGGTTTCCAAATTAAAAACTTGTAAACAAATAAGATACACTCAACTGGACCTTACACCAATGTTCAAACCTAAAAGTCCACGACAAGTAATCAAGTAATGAAGTTAAGAGTTTTATCTAACATGGATCGAAATTCATAATCAATGAATTCTTAATGGGTTAATCATTTATTAAGAATTCACTCAATCTATACTTTAGACATGTCTATTTTAGAAAACTTTGATGAAATTAATCAACATGTTAGTAGTCATTGAGTGTTGATTTGATCATTAATATAATAGTCGAACACGCTATCTAATTGAACAGTTTGATCATATTAGATGATCGGACAAATTATGTGATTAAAAAGACCAACTCAAAGATTTTTTTTCCCTTTTTGACAAACTCCATGAGCAACTATTCCCTCTTGTATTGCAGCTTGCGAATCTCTTGTTTTAGGGACGAGCTTATTGCCTATTTGAGAATAACGTATCTTGACTGTAAAAATTTCATAATTGGAGATCATTTATTCATTCAAATGCATAGAACAAACTGACAGTGTAGGTATCAAGTAATATATAACTCGTTTGAATGTGTTTTTAAAATGACTGAAAACACTTTTAGAAAGGAAAAAAAATTTGGGTTCCAAAAATACTTTTAAGTGCCTTTTCAGGATTTACTTGCATATTTATTAAATATTGGTTCTAAAATATTTTCATTAAAAGCGTTTTCTGTGATTTTAAAAGCACATCCAAATGAGTACATAATCATGATGAACCGTTTATTTATTTGATACGTTTGGACGATTAAACGATATCCAGTTCGAATGAATTTTAGATTGAACAATTCTGGTCGATTTTATTCAATAAAAATACATTATTTGCAAATGAGAAAATATATTCATTCCTAAATCCAAATCGGAATGAAAGTATTATCCAACATAAAATCCAATAAATGATTTTTTTATTGGCTTGAATAAATAAATAAAGTTTTCATCTTTTTTAATTTTTTGAAATTTTTATAATTTTCTCCAAATTATTGTTAACGTAACCCAAAAACTAGAAGAACAAGAAACACAGATAAAGGGAAAGAACTCTCCAGAAAATAAAGTAGCTCCCTTTATCTCCTCTAACACACCCAAATTATAATTTGTAAAACCCTAATTTCTACCCATTTCTCTCTCTCAGCTGCTCCAGAAAAAAAAAACCCCTAATTTCCATTGGCGAAGGGACGAAATTGAGAGAAAATCCCCAAATCGAGCTGCGAGTTGCGTCGATCACTGTATAAATTATCGATGAGAAGAATCGGGGTTGCGGAGGAATCGAAGATCGAAGCTGGGGAGGCGTAGATGCATGTCGCGGGAGTGAGCTTGGATCTGAATTGGTTCCTGCACTTCATATTTACAGTTTTTATAATCGCCTTCTGTTTGCTGCACCTGGTGAAGAACACGGCGTCGAAGTACTTTGAGGTCGACGCCAGCTTCGAGGGAGGAGGTGACGGGGGTGATCGGACCCCAATGCCTGGCGCGTTCATGGAGGATCCTGTTTGTGCTGTCTGTGGGAATTCGGGTTCCAGGAGGTGCTCTCGCTGCAAGGCTGTTAGATACTGGTATTGTTCTTCAATTTAATTCGTTAATTTTTTATTTATGAATTTATGTGCTGCTTTAATCATTGTATCTAAAGATTGCTTCTTGGCACTTAATTATGGTGATTTAATTTCTTAATTGACGCTGGTTTAATGGATTATGGAAAAGTTTTAATCTGTGATGCAATTTATAAGTTGTCTCATATATATATAGTTTTAATCTGTGATGCAATTTATAAGTTGTCTCAGATATATATATATATATATAGACAGTTAGATATTTCTGTTGATCATGTTGTCTCACAACCATCGGGTATTTAGTGTTCTGTTTCATAGGAAAGATAAGGAGGGAAGAGTTATTGTTTTATTGAGTGGAAGTTATTTATCTGTCTGAGTTTCTTAGGGTCCTTCGCACGGATGGTCGGTTGTCTCCATTTTTTTTACATGTAAAATTTCTTCGTCCAATTATTGCACTTTAGGCTTTGACTCCAACTAGGCTATTCAATTCGAAAATTCTGGTTCAGTGTTATGCTGGCAGTTAATGTGTTGCAAGCATCCTACGTTTAGGCTCGGGATTGATCCATAACATAGATAACTTTGTTTTCGGTATTGATACTTGCAATGATGTATGGGGTTGTTTATAGGAGACGTATGAAGTAGCAATAGCATGTTGGAACTTTGCTGAACGGGTGATTTGGTGGTATCAGTCTAATCTTATAAAAGTGGTGATTTGGTATGTGAATTCAATATTTGTATGATGGTGAATGTTTTTAAGACAATGGTAGAGATTCCTATAAGCGTGTATTCTTCCTTAAAAATTTTGGTCATAACCCTTTATAATTTTGTAGCTCAACGAAATGCCAAGAAAAGCATTGGAAGTCAGGGCATAAGACAGAATGCAAGGACTTTCAACTATCTGGCAGAGTGAATTCAGCTCAGAACACATTGGGTAATCGGAGATTTAAAACTTCTGGTGCTGGAGGAAAAACTTCCCCTGGACTTGCACTTGTTCCTGCTCGTGGAATCTCTAGGCCTATCAAGATGCCTAAAGAGGTGAACTTTCATTTAGTTTTTCATAAGAAATGCTGCTTACAGACATATATGTATTAACAAATGCTTAATACTTTTCAGATTCTTTTTCCCTATGAAGAATTTGTTGAACTTTTCAATTGGGACAAGCCAGGGTTTCCTCCTTGCGGACTCTTAAATTGTGGAAACAGGTTTTTCTTTACCCTTTTTACAGTACATTGTAATACCACTAATTGGGTACTTCCATTTGATCAAGCGGCAAACTTGACCACAGATGTCTTCACTCTATATACATGCATGTTGCCTGCAAGCACGCAAGCACTCACACACTTGCACTGACATTCCTATCATACTTGTACTACCTACAATTTTGTTTATGCTTCTAATTTCCCTTTTATTTGCAGTTGCTTTGCCAATGTGGTTCTACAGTGTCTTTCATCCACTCGACCGCTTGTTGCCTACTTGTTAGAGAAGGGCCATCGGAGAGAATGTAGAGTCTTAAAACCATTCAGTGCTACTTTTTTAGGATGAAGGTGATTAAGCAAGTCTTGACTCATCAAACAATTACTCTTTTTTGTTTTTCAGGCATACGTGAAGACTGGTGCTTCCTGTGTGAACTCGAAATCCATCTTCAAAAAGCTAGCCAAAGTTTGCAGTCCTTTTCACCAACCAACATTATCTCTAGATTACCAAATATTGGTGGTAATCTTGGCTACGGGAGGCAGGAGGATGCTCATGAACTCATGAGGTTTCTTTATGTGCACTTGATTTAGTTTCTATATTGTCTGATGGCTGTTAAATTGAATACATTGTCAACACTCTACTTGCACTAGATTTTGTGCATCAACAAATTGTATTGAAGTTCTTGTATTGTTTTGTAGGTTTGCCATTGATACAATGCAGTCGTTGTGTCTTGATGAGTTTGGTGGAGAGAAAGCTGTGTGTCCAAGCTCTCAAGAGACAACGTTAATTCAACATATATTTGGTGGCCAACTACAGTCTCAGGTTATCATCTTATGGCTAAGTGTAAATTCAGTTATAAGCTGAATTATTTCTTTATTTTACTGTTGAGCCTTGCTTGACTGACGCTTACAATCATGTATCAACTCACGTATGTTAATTGGAGAATATGTCACAGCAGTTTTATATTCTATATCTAGATAAGGTTGTAGTGCTTAACCTTTTTGGTTCTGGTATCATTACTTGGAATATTTTCAATATGCCTAACATTCGAACTTTGGCTATGGCATTTTCCTTGTTTTGTAATTTTACATCCCTTCTAATGTACTTTCTCTTTTTGGAATATTTTGTAGGTGATTTGTACAAATTGCAAGAATATATCAAATCAATATGAAAATATGATGGATTTAACTGTTGAAATTCACGGGGATGCTTCATCATTAGAGGAATGTCTAGATCAATTCACCATCAAGGAGTGGCTTCATGGAGAAAATATGTATAAATGCGATGGGTATGATCTCTACTTTTTCTTTGTCAATTCCATTCGTTATATTTGTTGCCTTTTTCAGTTTTTTGTCAATTCCATTCATTATATTTGTTGTCACAATTAAAGTGGCTTCATGAAGATATATTGTTTCTGTTAACAGGTGCAATGACTATGTCAAGGCTTGGAAGCGTCTTACCGTTAAACGCGCTCCAAATATTCTCACAATTGCCTTGAAAAGATTTCAGGTTCAGCTATACTCATTTTATACATGTTGCTTTCTTAATTGATGCTATGGTGAATCCTGAAATTTTTGTGTTGGCAAATATTTCAGAGTGGACGGTTTGGGAAAATTAACAAGAGAGTAACATTTCCGGAAACATTAGATCTTAACCCCTACATGAGTGAAGCGGGAGATGGTACCAATATTTACAAGCTGTATGCCGTTGTTGTCCATATTGATATGCTGAATGCTTCATTTTTCGGACACTATATCTGTTATACCAAGGATTTCAGTGGAAACTGGTACAGAATCGACGACTGTAAGGTGATCTTTCTTGTCCCTCGCTCCCTCCCTCCCTCCCTCCCTCTCTCCCTCTCTCTCTCTCTCTCTCTCTCACACACACACACACGCACACACACACGCATCCTATAGCCTTCCCTATTACAGAATATTCAGATGCACTCGAAACTTTTATCTAATATGCACTATGTACCCAAGCAGCTTATTTCTTTGCTGACTTATTTTGCTATTTTCACAGGTTACGACCGTAAATTTGGAAGAGGTACTTTCCCAGGGAGCATATATGCTACTATATAGCAGGTGTGTATATGTGTGAACTTTACATGTTACTCTCATTAAGTTCTATGTAGTTGGCTTAGACGAATGCAACATGTGTGATTGTGGACCCTAGTTCAAACTGAACAACTGATATTGTGCATCTTATTTTTTATGAGAAGCATTTTGTTTTGACGATCTAAAATGGTTTTGGTTGCCTGTTGATGTGCAGGGTTCAGCCACGAGCATCATGTCTAAGGACCCTCGAACCCCCGAAGAAAAAGGAGGAAATGATGAATGTTGAAGTAGAGGCTTGCCAAAAGGAACAACTTGGATGTTCCACTGCCGAGTCTGCAGATCCTACCCACTGTTCTGGCTCTGTGCCATCTGACACTACATTGCTGCCACAGATTCCAAGCTCTGTAACAGAATCGGCTGCTGTAATTGACGCTGAGGTTGTCCTAGAACACTCTGATAATGTGGATCGCAGGCTTAAATCACCGCCAACTGTTTCAAAAGAGGTTTGCATAGTTGAAAATGGTGCGGTTAATTCCCCGTCTTGTCCATCTGTTTCAAGGGAGATTTCTATATGCAAGGACCCTGCTGGTGAGTTGGATTTGGATACCGTAAGAGGTGATTCAACTCCAGCTCCAGATGGTATGGATATGTCTAATGGTGACTCATGTCAGGCTATTCTGGACGATGTATCAGCACGCTGCAAGAAGGATCTCTCTTCTTCAGGTCGTGAAGCTGAAAATGGCGTTTCCCAAGATATGGATATCGATCATTGTGAGTCAAGTTCATCCCCTGCAGAGGACATTCAAATTTGCCGGAGCAATGGGCCAACGACTCGAGCAAATGGGAATGGTTCTCCAGTTGTGAATTCTGGTTTTCTGAACGGGAACGGAATCCACAGAACAAAAAAAAGTAGATGACGGCTAAATAATCGAAGGTGGATTTCTTAACGATTATTATTTTGTTCATAATTCTTTAGGTCCCCTCATCGTTGCCATAAGGAAAAAGATGGAGGCTGGGAAATTTTTGTCCGGGGTTTCATAATTTGCAGAGACCTCCGATTAACAATTTAGTTGGGAGAGTCATTAGTAATTTAATGAGTTTAAATTCTTATGACACAGTTAAGCGTTTTTTGTATAATGAAGAAGCACTTGATAAGTGATTGACCTAGAAACATTTTTAATTACTGTTGACAAATGTAGTTAAAAGCGTTTTTGGATGTTGGAAATTTAGAAGTAGGCTATCTAATAGGTCGTGTTTATTGTGTTCGAGTTATATCCGTTATCTTAACAAGTCGTGTCATGTCAAATTCGTTACTTTAACAGGTGACTGAATAACAACCTCATTCATTAACAGATCATGTAATTTCATGCCGGGTTGACTGGTCTAGTCGTTTCATGGTAAATTAAATGGTTATGCAAGAAATTATCATTTTTAATGTTAAGGGTTGACAAATGATATCTTATAGAGTTTTTAACTAGTGACGCGATTTGTTAAAGGGTTTTTAATGAGTGATTGGGTTGATTCGAAATTCGTTATTTTTGTATTATTTCGTGTCAAGTAAAACCGAATGTGCAAAAAGGTGTCTAGAACTACTTAGTAGTAGTCTTGAACATGCTAAAATTTGGTTTATTTAGAATATTAAATAAGTTCATTAAGATTTGATAATCCAATGGGGGAAAAGATGCCAACTTGTAATTTACCAAAACAGTAACACAGAAAGCTTGGAGACCCGAGCTTGATGAAATGTACGCATCGAGATCTCTGCCAACTGCCATGGCAGCCGGCCTCGACTTTGGAGGTATTTCACAGAGAGAGAGAGAGAGAGAGAGAGGATAAAAAGGTAGAAAATAGAACGTAATCAGCTGTTTTCTCTCTCTTGCTTTGTCTTTTATTACTTGTATTCTAGTTTGAAAAAGAAATGCTTGCTTCTGGGACTCGAAGAATCTGGTCTGGCCATTGACTTTGAAGGCTCACGAACACCCAGATTCCTTAACGAGGCAAATGCAGAAGCCAAAAGCACCACCAAGTTTCTGCTTTTGCTTTTGCAAACTGCAAAAGTCAGCTTCCGGCAGCAGCAGAAACCCTAAAACTCAACCCACGCATCTGAAAATATGACAAAGACAAACCCTTTAAGCACTTTGAGCCTTTGACAATGTCATGATAATATTGTTGGCATATATTGTATTCCCAACCATGTCGTTTTGTCCTTCTTTGCAACCATGCTCGGATGCTCTCTCTCTTTCTTTTGTGTGTAAAAATATTAAAAAGACAGACGACCAATTTAAAGTGTATTCTCCTCACGAGGGAGAGTTCTTTATATTCGGACCACGATGCTGTTGTGGTACTTCAAATTAATGAGACATTATTATGTATTATTTATATTTATTGTAACAATACTTTAAGCTAATTACGTATTGTTTTGTGTATATCAAGAGCGGAGCCAACTAATGATTCACGTTTCAATCCTCTCCAAGTTTTAAAAGATGAAAAAATTTGGTGTTAAAAAAGCATGTTATGGTAATTCAGTCTAATATCGCACAAAACATAAATTTAGCCTATTTTCAACGACTAAATTTCACTCCATACAAGATAAAAAATTTAGATAACTCCTATATAAATTCTAGCTCCACCCTTGGTGTGTACTAACGCTTGACTAACGTGAACACCATCAAAATGAAATTTAACTGTATGTAAGTTAATCACACATTGTAACATGTATTCTTGTCACAATTTATTTATATTTTAAGTCAAACATACATTGTTATATATTAGGGAATTTGAACAAAAAGTTCTCGGTGCTGTTCACTTTAACGAAAAACCACATTTTTATACTAAAAAATCAATCTTGGTACTATTCACTTTACCCTTTATTTTATCCTTATAGTTAAAACTCAAAATTTTCCAACGATTTTCATTAGTTTTCCTTATATATTACCTATGCCTACAATGTCACCGTGCTTGTTTCTCAAGTCATCCGACTAATTAAACACTGCTAAGACTAAGTGCAACATTTTTTGTTTGGAGCTTGGGAATCCAAAGCCAAGAGCCGTGAGAGAAGGGAGTCAACTACTCTCTCTCCTTTCACACTGTATTATGTACTCTCTCTCTCTCTCTCTCTCTCTCTCTCTCTCTCTCTCTTGTTTTATAAATATTGGGCTGAAAAGAAAGAAAAACCAACCACCAACCAACCCCTCGTGTGTTTGTGTATGTTCTTGGTTGTCAACCCCTACAAAAAGAGTTTCCCACGAAGCTTCCCACCTTCCTTCCTCCATAGCTCTTTTTCTCCCTTCCTTTCTTTCCTTTAATCTTTTCTCCCAAACGCTGCCCAATTTAAAGACAGAGACAAAGACCCACCGGCCTCACTTCATCACTCTCACTGTCCTCCTCCACTCAGACCTCACGGCAGCGCCGCCGTTGAAGCAGCAGCACCGCCGCTGAAGCAGCCGCACCGCCGCTGAAGCAGCCGCAGCAGGAAAAGGTACTTTTTCTCTCTCTGTTCATCTTCTCCTTTTGTCATCTTGTTGTTCAAAGTCTGCCTCGGTTTTCTTGAATTTTAGCTGTTAATCTGTCTAAATGTGACATTTTGATTGATGGGTACACCGTTGTTTCTAGTAACTCGAAGTCCTAGGATTCTTCTACTGTGATTTGGCGAATAATATGACTTTGTCTCGAGATCTGCTACTTCTGGACATACCAACGGTCCAATTTCATCTTTTGGCTATGAAAATTTAACTTATATCTTCCAATTCTGGAACTTTTGAGCCTCTAAACATGCTTTTTATCATGGATGGTTTCAAATTTTAATCCTTTTTTGCTTCAACAATCTCAGTTCATACCTGTTTCTCAGTGCTTTTGACTGTACTGTGATTTGCCAGCCTCGGATTTTTCTTCAGTCTCACTCTCGAAAGAAAGTCGGACTCTTTATTCGAAAGATTAGATTGGTTTTCAACTTCTTCACTGCCATACGAATTGTTTGATTAATAAGATAACCGGCAGATGGGAAATAGAAACGGAAGGATAGGGGCTGAGATGGCTAAATTGCGCTTCTGACTACATTTGGCAGAAAATACTTAAAAACGCATCTAGGTCGTTGAAGCACTTCTACCAGAAGTTCTTGTGAGCATAAGTGCCCTTTATAGAAGCAGTCCCAAAAGAACCATGAAGTAGTTTAGAAAAACATTTCGTAGATTTTTGAAGTACCGGAGTCTTTTAATGAATGTTTGAGCCAGATTCCCATTACATTCTTTGTATGCTTGATTTGAGCATTTTGTTTCTTTGGTTTCTATCTGATGGGCATTTATATAAAGTCACAAGTAACACTTCGATCCCTTTTTGTTACTGCAGTTGTGTTCTTACTAATTTCTAGTTCATGGAGCACAACATTTGCCCAGCTTTTACGATGAATCGGAAGAGAAAATCCCTAGAGCAAGATGATTGCATTTCAAGCACCTTTGGTATGGATGAGCTTAATGAAGACCTTCTCGAAAGGGTGCTGTCGAGACTACCAACATCTGCCTTCTTCCGCCTTACTTCGGTGTGCAAAAGATGGAAATCAGTTGCATCTTCTCCCAGTTTTAAGCTTGCCTGCTCTCAGATCCCCTCTCGGGATCCATGGTTTTTCATGGTCGATCCCTTTCTCAATCGATCAATTGTCTTTGACTCCTCTGAAAGAAGCTGGAAGAAACTCAATCATCCCCCTCTCCTGCAGACAAACTCCAACTGCAATTCCATGCCTGTTTCAGCATCTGGTGGCTTGATCTGTTTCCGCAATTCACAGGGCAACTTCATTGTATCCAACCCCGTAACAGGAGTTTGCAACGAACACCCTCCACTGGATCCATCCTTGCAAAATCTCACATTCCATGCCATTGTGATGAGCTCATATACAAAGTATGATCAGTCCTCTTATAAGCTTGTTGTAGTCTTCGGCGAGTTTCCAAAACTGTCCTTTCGAGTGTATAACTCAAGCACTGCCTGCTGGGAAGAAGAGACAGCCTTGTGTAAAAACTTTGACGATGATGATTCAACAGAATCAGACTCAAACGATGACAGTGCCGTTTACTTCCTTAGCAAGGCTGGAAACGTAGTGGCAACCAACATGCAAAGAAGCCCATCCAAGCAATACTCGTCCGTCATGACTACCAAAAATGGCGAGGAGACACTCCATTTCCTCAGCTCATCAGGCTCAGTTGTAGCCTGCAACCTGACCACCAAGTGCTTCTCGGAGTACCCCAGGCTACTCCCAGTCTTCTTCGAGTACTCCATTGACTTGGTAGCATGCGGAGGCAGAATGCTGGTGGTTCTTCTCTCAGAATTCTTCGAAAGCGCGAGCCTCAGGGTGTGGTGCTACGATGAGGAAGCTCGATCGTGGCAACAAATTGCAGCAATGCCTCCCGCGATGTCACACGAGTGGTATGGCAAGAATGTGGACATAAACTGCGTAGGGGCCGGTGATCAGTTACTGATCTGCTTAAGCTCTGCCGAGATTTCGAGCTGTGTTCTGTGTGACTTGACTGCCAATGATTGGATTGAATTGCCCAAATGTTTTGTGGATGGTGAAGCCATCAAGTTCTTGTCTGCCTTCTCATTTGAGCCAAGGATTGAGGCTTCTATGTGATATGAAAATTGTGTTTTTGGATTTATATTTTTTGCTTCTTGATCTTTTAGCATTTGTCTTAGATTCTGTGTTGCATTGTTTATAGCCAAATGGAAAATTGGCTCTGATTTTATTGTACAATGGAAAATTGATTTTAGATTGATGAGGTAGATCAATGTAATAGACTTCCATTTGTTGGCCTTGTAACTCTTCATGTTCTAGTGGATTTTCTCTTTTGTTAAATAAGGGAGACGTTTCTCTTTACCTTTTCCTACTTTTGCACACTCGTGCTTATTTATTTTAGTAGATCAATAACGTTAGTGGATTGAATAGTTAGTTGTTAGGGGGGGAGAGGAATTGATGGGGATCGAACCTGCATCATTCAGCGTACCAAAATGAACTCAAATAAAGTAGCATATGAAGAATTTAAAAAAAAAAAAACAAAAGATAACAGCAAAAAAAATAAAAAAAAAATTGGAAAAGCATCCTGACACGCAATGCTTCTTAGATAGTGGTTGAAAAGCACTTTACCCGAGCACTAGACTTGATAGCATATAAGTCTCATCATAGACTTTTTTTATATCCATGGATACTTGCGGTTGTGAGTTGACGTTTGGTCAGACCTGTCTTTGGAGCTCTGTGCCAAAAAGTTGTCAAGTCTACCACCAATCGACTTGAGCGGTCGAAAAATACTTTTTCTGCACTCGTCTCTCCTTGTTGGAAGAGAACCTAGGGCTATGAGCAGTCATCTTTGTTCTCGTGGTGGGTGTTCTGTCATATAGATTCCTTGAACTAGCTTACAAGCCCAATGACTTGATCTTCTCATCTTTTAGTGGACTTTCTCTAACCCATATTTTGGGCACAAAACAACCATATTATCTAATGAGTTAACATGAATGAAAACCAAACAAATTCAGATAAAATGACGTAAAAAGAAAGAAAGAAAAAAACTAAAAGCATAGAAAAAAAAGAAAAAAGAAAAAAAAAGGGAAGCACAAACAACTTGCTACATGTCCTAACTTGTTGGTAATCTTATGCTTCACATTAATATTTGAGTGTATTGAATTACATGAAACCAACCCCTCCACTTATCCTACCCGCCGGGCAACACAGGCAAGTAACCACATGAAAAACAAACGACGTTGATAAAGGTGTCCGGAAAGACAGTTGGAATCTGAGACGGCGCTCAGACGATCCCATGCCCACCTTCGTCTCCCAACGGTGACCTCCTCGCCAACCCAAACTCCACAAAATATAAGAAAAATCCGAAACCATACAAACCGATTTAACCCGAATCTGAAAATGGAAGTCAAATTCAAAGACGAAAAGAAATTGAATTTTTGGTTTTTTAGGATATTTGTTTGACGTGAGGCTCTCCGAGGGTCCCGCCTGCGAGCAAACAGGTGGTGGCCAATCTTCCGGTGATCATGATCACGGAGGAAGTGTTGAAGAAGCTCGGAGAGGACGCAGATTGCTGCATTTGTAACGAAAACTTGGTTGTCAATGACAAAATGCAGGAGTTTCCCTGCAAGCACTTTCATCCTCCTTGCCTAAAGCCATGGCTGGTAATTCGATTTTTTCAACATTTGCTGTATTGCTTAGGTGAAGACAATCAAAACTTGTTGGGAAGCTTCGGTAGTGGTATGTTGATGGTCCACATCACGCTTTTAGGTTCTACAGAATCCCTGAAACGATAGGTAAATTACCTATTCAGCAACATCTCTATGACATTGTCCTAGAATTAAATTTTCCTAAGAAACAACCAAATAATGTATATTAAAGCCAAACAACAAACCTCATGAGAAACCTGAAGGTGACCTCAACTGACGCTCTTTATTTGGCTCGCCTCTGCTCAAGTCTAACTATTTTCTGCGAAAACTTGAGCAACTAAGATAACAAAATTATGCGCCGTACAAATTTGATATCGAATTTGGTACTTACGTATGAATAGTTACTAAAGAGTGCTTCATAAATCAGTAAGATGAATGCACGCTAAGTTTCCTAGATGGTTTATGGATATCATAACTTTCACTCAGTCGTCCAGCAGATAAATTAGAAATGAGTAGCTAAAGTTAAATAATCCTTGAAATATATAAAGAAAGAAAATCACCTTTTAAAAGAAGATTAATATTTATGCTTAGCTCGCGAGTCTCCAGTTGATCCACATTACTGATACCTTTGAAGAAGAAAAATAAGAAAATTAAACAAATATGATGATAGCTTACATACATGTGTAAATAAGATAGATAGAGCTCAACTACCAGTATGTTGAGATTTTGATGTTTGGGATGTGAGAAATCTCGGGCCACTCCTCTCCACTGCTTTGTTCACATTGCTTTGAAAGCATGGGACAAGCCTTAATGATAAGATCCTGCAGTGGTGTTTTGCAGAGGAAGTCTGGCAGTGTTTTTATGCCTTTACAGTAACTAATTTCTAAAGAGGAAAGACATGGCATGATTGAAATTTCAGAATCCTCTTTGTTCCACCCTTCCACGCCTACTTCCCACTCCTCCAACGTTGACATGAAACAAATTTCGAATTCTTTCAACTTTGGAAAAAATGAGGTGGATGATGATGATGATGTCAACGACGTTTCATCTGAGTCAACTATTCCCAAAAATTCACCACCAATCTTTTCCACCTTCTCCATACCATACATAGTCAGCTTTTCAAGGTGGGGCAATTTCCCAAGAGGAGGCAAAAACTTGCATTCACTCCATCTAGATAGACTAATGATTCTTAAGTTGTGCAAAGACATCATCCAACTGGGGCAGGTGGCGCCTGAATGATAGGAAATGCATATGGATTCCAGATTTTCATGCGGTCGTAAAGCATTCAGTATTTCGATTGTGCTTCTCATCTGCTTGTACAAGACATCCTTAGAATCAATTCCAAGATGAAATAATTGCTTCAAGTCCCACAACTGCGCCTTCTCAAGCTCCCTCTCATCTTTCACATTCCCCTTCAATTTTATGGTGAGTCTACCCTGGAGGCTAAAGACTCTCAGATCTGCCAGTTGTAATGCTCTGTCCTCATCCTCACCATAAACCACAACAAACCCATCTACTGTTTTCAAACTTTTTTTTAATCTCCGAATCCCTTTTGGCAAGTACTCCAGCTTATGACAGCCCAAAACATCAAGGTACTTTAAGCTAATCAACTTTCCCATGTTATCAGGTAGTTTTTCAAGTGACCAGCAACTAAGGAGGCGCATGGTATACAAATTGTACAACTCACAGATACTGTCCGGCAATCTCTTAAAACCATGATTCCATGACAAATCAATGTGCCTCAAATGTATCAATTCACAAATTTCCTTAGGGACTTCACTTATGCTACTGTAACTCAAATTTAATGTCCTAAGATATTTCAATTGTAGAATAAAGTTTGAGTCTATCATAGCAATAGATGTATCAAACCTCGAATATGAGATTTTTGTGAGTGAACGTAGATTTTTGCAATTGTAATATGCATTCGAAGGTGGGAGTGGCTCACCAGGTTTCAGTCTTACGGTCAAATGGCGAACCTTTTCACCCAAAGCCTCTATTTCACTGTCAACATCCTCAACGTCGGTGATCAAACATTTCGTTCTTGGTGAGAGATTGCACAAAGTCATGAACAATATCATGCATTTTGCAACCTATAATTTTACCACTAACACTATCCTTCTCCAAATCTTGAAAAAAAGACCGTGCTACTAAGTTATCAAAAAATGTTGACCAACTTCTCCCTCATCTTTATTTCCTTTTGAATTAAGATAATCTTGTGCCATCCAAAGATTAATCAACTCATGCCTCTTACACTTATAATTTTTAGGAAAACAAGCACAATACAAAAGACAACATTTGATTGCTGAGGCCAAATCATAATAACTTATAAAAAGTGGTTGAAAAACTTCTTGCTCCACCTCTTCTTGATCCCATATTTTACTATTCAAGACATCTAGCCATTCCCTCCTTGTTTTCTTATTATACATGAGACCACCTAAAGCCTTTGCAGCGAGAGGTAAACACTTGCATTTCTTCACAATATCCTTACTAATATCTTCAAACACCTTGGACTCTTCTACTTCTACATCAACAAACGCCATGTGGTTGAAGATTGATAAACAATATTCTTCGCTCAACTCTTCCAAATTGATCATGTCGCTTCGTGCTCTCATCATATCAACAACATCGTGTTGTCTTGTGGTCACCAATATTCTCTTGCCATGAGCACCACTTTGAATTAGTGATGCCCTTAATTTTTCCCACTTTTCACGGTCGTGGGTCCACACATCATCTAGGACAAGGAGAAACCTTTTGCCCTCGATGGATGATGACATATGTTGCAAGACTTGATCTAACTCATTTGAGTTTGGGGCATTATCACCGCATATAGCTTTGGCAATCTTAATCTCATCAAAAGGATCTGAGACACAAACCCACACTCTTTTTTCAAAATAGGCTTTAACCTTGTCATCATTATAAACAAGTTGGGCTAGAGTTGTTTTTCCCGCTCCTCCCATCCCTAGAATAGGGATGATAAGGAGCCCCCTCCGATCTTCTCCACCATCACTCAACAACTTTGTTATCAGATTGTCTTTTTCCTTTTCTCGACCAAATACCTCCGACACGACGACAAAAGACGAAGTCTTCTGCCGTTCAGGTAATTCTTGAATGCCTCTTTCTATGTGTTGAAACCCATACTTATTTCTTTGCTCATCAATCACACTTAACTTATCGTTCAAATCTTTTATCTTACTCGCAATTTTACGGCGAAAAATTACCTCTTTGGCTTTGCGAAAACGAAAGCAGCTAGGGGAAATAGAGAGAGTTACCTTTTTCTTCTCTTCTTCTCAGGAACAGGAGCATTTTCACCTTCTCGTTCTTGCTTCTCAACCTGTTGTCTCAGCATGTTAGTGTTCCACTCGTCCAGCACGTCCACCATCTGGAACGATATGTTTTTGAGCTGATCCAACCAGATCCTCATGCTGGCCTCCTTGACTTGCCTTTGCTCCGCATCTTCGAGAACGGCTTGAATAGCTCTGAGATTGCCAGCAAAGTCTTCAACGTCTTTCTTAGCGTTCAAAACAAGTTTCACCTCTCCGTCAACGTACTCGTAAACTGTTGAAGCCAGCCGATCCAGTAGCATGGAGATGATCGCGTCAGCCATTTTTTCAGACTCCACAATCTGTTGACAGTGGAAAAAGAAATGAAGAAGGAGAAATGCAGAATGGTTTGTGGCGTTGGCTCTCCCCTATCCAGCTTATATGATTATTCCAAGTCCATAAGTTCAAGTAAAGTGAATGGTAGTCCGCTGTCTGCTGCCATATTCTGTCGAGTTGCCATATTCTGTCGAGGCCAACTGCAACTTCGATGCCTTCATTGACCCCACCATTTATAAAATTTAAAAAAAAAAAAAAAAAAAAAACAGCGTTTGTTTATTATTTGGTAATTTGTATTTATTTTATCCCATTTTTTTTCTTGGCTAGGCACTTGGTCATTTGATGCCATCTACCAAAATGTCACTATTAATTCAATTATTATTACATATGGGAATAAATACATAAAATATTAATGTACCTTAATTTGAACGTTTCAATTAAAAGTAATAAATTTATGTAAAAGGAGAATCTACGGTCCTTTACTAGACTACAATTATATGGTATCAAGGTTCTAAAAGTCGTTAGGCGCTAGTCGGGCGGCGGGCTGGGGCCTAGCGCCTAGGCGGCTAGGCGGGGCCTAGGCGGACTAGGCGGATTTAAGTAAATCTATCATATTTCAGGTAAATAAGTGTCTGCTTCTACTTGAAATATATATAATTTCATCATAAACTACAAAATAGAATGCATATATATCATGAAGTATTGGAACATAATGAAAACATGTGAAATAAGGATATAATGTTTGTTCATTCAAGTATGCAACAAGTCTCTTACAATTTATTGGAAAAAAAACAAAATGCAAAATGAAAGTTATGTATTTTCTGTCTAAGTGAGTTGCAACCTAGGCGGGTCTAGGCGGTGGGCTGGGGCCTAGGCATTAATCGGGGCGGTGGGCTGGGGCCTAGCGCCTAGGCGGGGCCTAAGCGGCGCTAGGCGGAGATTTTTAGAACAGTGGGTATCAGTAATATTTAAGATACATTGCATTTATTCAAAATTATACTTAGGATTATACAATCATGATAAAGTTTTAGCAATGACAAAGAATAGCGTGAATATTACTATAACAAGTTTCGCAGTTCTATTGTTATTGTCCTATTACATTATCAAAATAAATTTTTGTACTTTAACATAATACGTAATTGTATACAAATTAACGTTCAAATTAAATAATTCCGAGTCTTATTTTTGTTAATAAAGTACAGTATACAATGTGATTACATTACATATCTCTACTAATTAATAAAACACTTATTATTAACCAAAATCTTATGAAATTACCAGTTTAACCCTCTAATTAAAACAGAACATGAATAAGAAATATGGGAAAGAAATGTAATTTTAGACAACCAAATTTTGCTATTTTTTTTCAAAACCTCACCTATATGTAATCATAATATATCTCTAATTTAAAAATAAAATAAAATAAATAAACACTTCCCACTCTCACATCCTCTATCACTATCTTCCTCTTTCCTTCTATTTCAAAAACAAAAATAAAAAAATTTCTTACACATTTTGTGCTTGCTTAGTTTAAATAATTTAAATTAAATTTTGTGGTCGGAGGAAAAAGCCAATTGGTTGCAAATGCCAAAGCTTTTTCTGAAATCGTGGCGCAACCTTTGAACAGAAAAATGAAGATTTACTTTACAAAATATATATTGTAATTGTGTATTAGTATGTAAATAGCAGCAAAACCCATTGGGGCTTTGGACATGGAAATCGCCGCCTGTTTCTCCTCCTCCGCCGGCTTTGCCGCCAAATTTGGATGCCTGTACGATCACATCCCGCTTCACGCCCATATTCATATCAACGGCTATGGTTCCTTCTTGGGTTTTCGCGGGACTAGCAGAGGCAGCAGAGCAGTGGTCGCAGGGGGCTCAGCCTCGGCCTCCGCCAAGAAGCTGGCCGTCAACGGATACGCCGGTCCCAGTTCTAGCACTAGCAGATTAACCTACACTTGGACCGATTCCTGTCTGGTGATTCCTCCGCCCGCCGGCAAGAAGCCACGCGCCATCATCAAGTTCTTGGGTGGCGCCTTCATCGGAGCTGTTCCGGAACTTACTTACAGGTCCCCGAAGTTTTTCTTTTTTAGCTTTTTGGGTTTTGTAATTTTCTTTATTTAAATTTGAGTCCTTCAAGTTCATGTGGATTATATGTCGCAGCTACTTAACTGAGCTATTGGCAAAGGATGGGTTTCTGGTGATATCAGTGCCGTACAATGACGTTTGATCATGTCCAAGCTGCCCGGCAAGTGTATGAGAGGTTCAATGGCTGCTTGGACAACATCTTAGCTTCTGGACTGCCCAATTCCAATATATCAGCTGCCCAACTTGCTCAACTGCCCGTGTTTTCGGTTGGCCATAGGTAAAATTTAGAGCCTTTTCAGAAGGGATAAAAGCGCTTTCTAAAAAGCGCTTGCTAGGTGCTTCTTTACGCAGCACTTCCAAGTCTGTCTAGGTAGAACTTGGATTCTTGATAAAGATTTTAACATGTTTATAACAAGCGAAAGCACTTATGTGCATAATTGTTCTCTACTGATTGAATCTCAAACGAATCGTTAGTTGAGTGGTTTCTAAGTTCATTATCAATGTATCCTGGCAGCAATGTGACTGAAATTTCTGTGTTTTGAATATTTTTTCTAGCAATGGTGCCCTTCTTCAAGTACTTGCCGGGAGCTATTTCTCTGATAAAATCCCTAAGGTGTGGTTTGTTGGGAAGTCCTCTTTCGTTTTAAGTGATTTGAGAAATTCATTCGGTTTGACAAGCAATATTTGTGTGCTTTGCTAAGGCCAATGCTATAATAGCATACAACAATAGACCAGCAACAGAGGCCGTGCCTTACTTTGAGCAGGTAATCGATCTGTATGCCCTGCTTCATAGAGTACATTAACGTTTAGGAAATATTGTTGTAAAAGTGTAGGATTTGATTGTGCAGTTAGGTCCTTTAGTTAATCAAATGGTGCCTATTATAGAAGCATCTCCAGTTTCTTCAGTGGCAAGGACTGCCTCAGGTAGCGTTCTGACTTGCTTTCATTGTATTTATTTTCTATGATTATGTTTATTCTTTCCTCTAGTTTTCTGTATGAATTGCATTTTTGCTTACTTATCGGATTTCGCTTTCCTTTCCCTTTGTTAGCTAGTCATAGTACCCTACACGAGCCTGAATGATGATATACTTTCAGAACTATTAACATACTTTCAATGCAAGTCAGAGAGAAAAAGTGTTGATACTTTATGTTTTCTGTATTGGTTCATTTTCTTTTGGTCAATATGTATTGGTTCTTTCTTGTAAATTCAAACTCATAATTATTCTGCGATGCATGGCTACCCTGTGGCAAGCCATAGATCATCATGTTTTCCTAACTGCCTCCGCATTGCATCCTTTGAATGCCTTTGAACTGAACTACTCGTATACCATATCAAGGGTGGTGTACTGAAACTTTCCAGCGTTCCCACTTTTCACCACTTCCTATATATAGGAGATGCATGGAAGGCACTGATTGATGCAGCTGGAGCAATGCTACCAGACAACCAGGAAACTCTAAGTTCGGTGACTAAATTTGTTGATCAATTGCCCTCAGTGCTAAATGAGGTATCTTGTTGGATTGGCAGAAATCGTTCCCTTTATTCTTCAACAGTTAATATTGGAGACTATTTCTGCTTATTTAGTCTCATTAATTAGAAGAAAAAAAATCATAATCTTTCTGTCAGGTAGCACAAGGGATATCAGAGTTTAAGCCAACACCCTCTGAAAACCGTGATTTTTGTAAGAGCTCGTACAATGTCAAACACACGCTACTGGTACACATGATATCCCACTATTCTGAAGTCATGCAATGAATGAAAATTATCTGTTCTCTGGCTTAACTATTATTTGCATTTTTAGGTGAAGTTCAATTTCGACGCAATTGATGAGACAGATACTCTTGAAGAGACGTTAAAGCCTCGTGTGGAATCTATTGGCGGAACACTAGAAAAGGTCGAAATAAGTGGTAACCATATTACTCCATGCGTACAGGTGAACTTAATTCTAAGCTTTATTTCGTTTTAAAGTTTTAATGCTTTTGCTTCTGTAAATGATTCCATAAAAAATTGTTTCCATATTTGATGGAATCCACAATTTTGCATGAGGCTGGAAGTTTAGAGGTCATTCGTTTACAAAGTTGAAAGCTAATTTAAACGACCTTTCGGACCTTTTAACAAATCACTTATGCTGGTGCACTCTTTTGAACCTATTTTAGTTTTGTGACACAAATTGATCAAGATCAATTAAATAATCTTTAGTAAGAACTGTCAAGTTGATTAATTACTCAAGTTGGTTCAGATTTCCGCACTAAATATGCAACTTCTTATGCTTTTAACTAAAGTTCTTTACCTTGTTTGTGCTAGTATGCTGGCAATCAACACTAGACCTTTTCTTCCCCAAATCTGTCATGTTAAAGTGGAATCAATTGTGATAATCGAATTGCTAGTCACACCAAAACAAGCCAAAGAGCCCGGGAAACAGATCAAGAAATAACATTTGACTTGTATCTTCATTCATATCCTAACTTGAACCCCTTATGGAGTCTTCATGTCCATATCGCTGTGAGCTATTAGGAAACAGTCATCTCAGGCTTCCAGCATTGCACAATTTGCATTATCATAAGAAGTTAAGAACTATGCATATCATAAGAAGTTAAGAACTATGCATCTTATTTCTGCTTGTTTGTCTTAGAAGCTTTCGGTTTATGGTCATCATGCGTCGTAATCTCTTCTCTTTCCATTTTTATGGCCTGATCAGGAACCTAAGTGGCAAGCAGGTTACGTTTACACTCCAGCAGATGCTATTGCTCAGAGTCTTAAGACACTTTCGCTAAATGACGTTAGAGTCCTTTCAAGAACCATAAGCGACTGGTTCAGAGGCTTGGAAGATTGAGCTGCCATGGCTTCAGTGAATTCATGTTGTTAGTTAGAGTCCTTTAGAGAAAATTCATGTAAAGTTTATGCTACTTTTGAATACATTAGT